ATGTAATACAAAATGGACACGTCCGTGCGTCACTCCATAATTCATACGATTTCTGATTTCTTTATCTACATATTTATGATTTTATTGTGATTTTTAGATCAATGTTGATAAGTAGACATAAGGTATCCTGTTGATCCTGTACAATTTTAGGGGAAGGGTGTTAGTAATGATAATTAATGATAAAAATTAGACATTCATACGATTTCTGATTTCTTTGTCTACATATTTATGATTTTATTGTGATTTTTAGATCAATGTTGATAAGTAGACATAAGGTATCCTGTTGATCCTGTACAATTTTAGGGGAAGGGTGTCAGTAATGATAATTAATGATAATAATTAGATATTCATACGATTTCTGATTTCTTTATCTACATATTTATGATTTTATTGTGATTTTTAGATCAATGTTGATAAGTAGACATAAGCGTAATCTTTTAATAAACATTAAATATCCTGTTAATACCAGAAAAGGATTTAGAATAAAACATTTTTTTGTAGTAGAATTATAGGGGATGAATGATAGTAACTCCATTGCTAGCAATGTACCATATCGGTTTGACCTCCACGCGGTTCCCTATGGTAACCATCATAATAATTTACTAACATAGTTTATAAGTTCTTTACTAATTTAATATGGATGGATATCTGAAATAAATAATGTATTGGTGCCTCACCAGCGTGTATTATTAACGCAGACGAGTGCACAATTCCACTTTATCCATTAAAAGTATCATTATCAGTATCTTTATCCATTAAAAGTATCAGTATCATTGTCAGCAAAGGGATAATTTTCCTGTTACTAAATTTACCCAAATAAAAAGACTTGTTTCCATATTAAATGTCAGCTACTACGCCCGTGCCAATAGGATGTAGGTAATATGTCCTATCTACAATCGAAATACTAACTTCCTCATGCATAAAATATATAACATTTTAACAATTGAAATGTTTCGTTTTCAGCCCGACAGTTATACAATTTTGTGTACATAAAGATAGATTTATTATCTACTAGCTACCCAACTCGGCTTCACACGGGTGTACATGTATTATACATATAAACCTTCCTCTTGATTCACTCTATTTATTAAAAAAACCGCTTCAAAATCCGTTATATACTTTTAAAGATTTAAGCATACATAGGGACGGACAGACAGCGACAGCGACTTTGTTTTATACTATGTAATGATGATAACTAGTTCTTTTCATAAGTTAAGAATGACACTCTTGTCGGTGGAGTTCTGGCATTTTCCACGATCTTCCATTAATCTCTTAACTACTTTGCCTTCCTGCGTGCGTTTATTGAAAACGGATTTGGGTTGCACGCAATACCTTTAATTGCTTACCTAATCAAGTAATATGAGTGTGTATGCAATTAGGTAATTTAGTTTTTTTCCGGTGCGAAACAATGTTGTATTTATATTTTAGACTACATATAGTTCAACGACTTCTACGTAAAACAAATAAAATAGTTATAAAACAAAATTATTATTGTTACAGTGATTTTACAAAAAAATCTTTTCCTATTTTTTAATATTGTCTATAGTCTGCTAGGGTTGCCAACCTTAAATTTAGAAAAAACAAGATTTGAAGTTGGTAAACTCAGGACGCAGTAGTAGAGTTGCAATAGTTAAAATACGTAGTGAAAATAGGTGGAATGAATTTCAAATAATTATAATAATCATATTCTTTAATAAAAGTATTGAAATATATTTCTATATATGTATTTTATTTTATTTTATAATTCAAAACAGAATTTTATAACATCATCAACCGGGATGCTACTAAAAAACTTAGGATGTCCCAGGATACTACAAAAACTAGGAAATGTCCTGGGTAAGCAAGACTAAGTAAGATTTGCCAACTCTAATGTATGCAGAATTTTTCAGAAAAAATTACATATCTGCTTTTTTAATAATAAACTAATTTGGCTATACGTATGTATAATATATATAGTACTTTTCCTATTTTTTATATAAAAGTTTTGTGTATAACTCTAGTAATGTTTATACCAGTCACGTCAAATACGCGGCCCGCGGGCCGCATCCGGCCCCCGGGCTGTATGCATATATTCCGCGATCGCAATGTGATTTTTAAAAACTTACATTACATATTAGTTAAATAAATAAAATATAATAATAATTCAGTATTTATTTTATTTGAATCTACGCCTACACATTCCAAATTTAATATATGGCTCTTTGCTATAAGAAATCAATGATGCGTTTTTTAAAAGGTAACCTTGCTATATTCAACAAGGACGAAATCTTAATTAGTATACGTTATGCAGTTAAAGTACCACACAATTACCACGTAATTAATGTGTTGCCTTCATCGTTGACTCCTTATTAACTCATTGACATATGAATACATTAACTTCCAGTTTTGCTCAATAAAACATCAAGTCATTACTAGGTGACATATTTTTCTGCACTGTCATTATGACATTGTTTTCTTTATATACTAGTCATATTAGTAATCGACAAGTTTTGTTGTTTTTTATTAAATACGCCTTTCAAAGACAAATTATACCTAAATCATTATCATAACATCGCAACAGAAAATTTCATTAAATCAAAACTATTTACAATAACATGATATGGCAAAATATATAGAATTTGCCAGAAACATGTCTGTTATCGATAACTTTGTATGTATGCTGTTTATTTCTTCTTTGATATATTTGTCAAATTTAGTAGTCTTGTGCTGTTCAAAAACAAACTATAATACTACTCGAATTAGTGTATTTGATAAATTATTATGAGTTGTTCAAAAACAAAATAGAATAGAATAGAATAGAAAATCATTTATTCAAATAAACTTAATTTAAGCACTTTTGAATAGTCATAATTTGTTTTTTATCTACCACTCGTTCTGAAAGCTGTCTCTTCACAAGAAGAACGAGCAAGAAACTTGTGTGTTGCTCTTTTAAATAATCCTTGTAAATTTACATTTACAAGTCCAAACGCATGAATACAAACTTCTTAGATTCTTCGCTCTTTAGTTCGTTTGATAAAATTATTAGAGGCATTCCGTTACAAATCACAAGAACACCACTTGAGGCCTAAAACACAAGAACATGATGTGGCCAAATGATGAGAGCCTATTTCTTGCCTAAATACAATAGAACACGTTTGGGTCTATAGACTGTTCTGGCCAATCTCTGGACCTAAAACTATTCTGATACTATGTGAATACAATTGAAAGTGAACGAATTAAAAGAATGAGCTAGACCTTTTGTCTATCGAGGCTAATGTGGTGAACTAACTTCATTTTCAACCTATCACTTTCACGATGATGATGATGGTGATGATGATGATACCCCTGAACAATTTACACAACGCCCACAAAGTAAGTAGAACTTGTGTTTGGGGTACTAGACAACTGATATTAGAATTAGATTAGACTTTTTTTTGCATATGCATACATAATAGACATAGATAACACGCAGACGGATACAACAATGCCATTCCATACTCCATCTTCCATTCCATACTCATGATTAAAAATATTTGCAACGCACGAGTAGTCGAACCTGTGACTATTCGATTGCTAAACCACTGGACCACCGATACTTTTTCGATACATCTGAATAATAACAATTACAATGCAAAGTTTGTAAACCGACATATCGCTAATACGTGTATTTTCATAACATCGATTCGGTCGCCTGTACATTTGACGATGGATGTTCCCCGCGTTAACATTTCAATAACATTTCATTAAAACAATAACAATTGTTATTGTTATATATGTACATAGTATATATAGAAATAATTATTTCTATATATACTATGTACTGTATTATTATAGAGTATGTAACATAATGCTATGACTAATAGGAGCGGGGCGGCATTAAAGAGCTAGCAAAATGCAAATTTTCTCTTTTTCGCATGAACTGCTGAATTTGCATCACCGTATCATATTTCTCGACAGCGGATACCCGGATAACGTATATTGTTCTTTATTATTTATTGCACACACACAAATGAAAATAAGGTAAAAGTAATGTACAAGGGTGAACTTATCTCTAAAAAGAGATTTCTTCTAGGTAACCTAGAAAATGATATAGGATAATTTAGTCACTAGATACATAAATTGTACATAAATAATATATATATATATAATTTCAATTAGAATATAATAAGTTAATATATAATTGTAATACATATATGTAAAATAATATATAGAGCAGGTGATTATGTTACAAACAATTACATTTAATCACACAAAAAAATCAATCATTGTAATCCAACACGGCGCATCGAGGCAAGTGTACCAAAAATATTGGCAGCGTTGCCTCTTTGAATAGCAGTACCTACCTACTGAGCAAAGTAGCTAACCTACCTACTGGGCAAAGTTCTCGGTTCTCTACCAGCTCTCGGGTCCCAAGTGACCTCGATTAACCTCTAATACTCGTTAGTAACCACTTAGCATCTGGTCTCTATGGACCCAACGTCTCCACGGCAAATGGCAAATACCAATAGGGAGATTATTAAATCTTTGAAGACCGCTTTGAAATATCTTATTTCTCACTTAGGAACCGGCATTTTTTATTGTTAATTACGTATATTATTTTTTTAATACTTTTAGTGTACAATATATATAAATATCTGCAGATTCTGTCAAACTGAAGAGGAAACGCCGCTTCACATCCTATGTGGTTGTAGCCCACTCATGCATAAACGAAATATCTTCTTTGGAAAGTTTACACTCTTTTCAGAGGAGACAAAAACCATCGCTCCTAAGAATATCCTTCAATTCTTGTCCCTGACGGGTCTAGATAGCGAACTTTGAAAAGGGCGAGCACAACATCTGACAATAGCCCAAACAACCCAATAAAAAAAAAATAGTGTACAATAATTTGAGGTAGACATTATTTAACCCCTACATTTATTTTAATTAAAGTGCACCCGGTTCCAACGTGTGAATTTACTTTCGTTGAGGAGTGACCCACCGGTGAGCATGCGGTCTTCAACGTGTTAAAAAAGAATCCATACCTCATATCTGGGGAGTAGTCGACGGAGCAGGCGTAGCCGGCCACCATGTGCCCGGTGAAGGTCTTCTTCCTGTTCATCTTGAACCTGTTGAGCGCGCTGAACACGATCACCTTGTTGTCCATGGACTGGCACGCGAGCCACTTGCCGTTCGGTGAGACGGTCACGGCCGGCAGAGAGTGCATCGACGGGTCCGCTATGTACTTCATGTCCACGGGTATGTCCCTGGAAAAATAATAATGATAATGATGGTGATGATGATGATGATGGTGATAGTGATAGGAATGATGATGATGGTGATAGTGATAGGAATGATGATTGTGATAGTGATAGGAATGATGATGATGATACTCCTGCACAATTCACACTCCACCTAATCGCAAGCTAAGCAGAGCTTGTGTTATATCGCGGTCGAAACACTGTCGAAATATCGGGAACTGGATAAAAATATAACGTGATGAGATCCCGTGTTTTACTAATTATACGTATTAACTGATATAAGATTTTCTTTCGCACGGTGCAAACATTTGTATTCATGAATATTATTGTTTATATCGGTCTAAGTGTTTTTAAATATTATGTACTTATTTCCAAAAATATTTCTATTTCTAGTACCCATAACTCAAGCTCTGCTTAGCTTGGGACTAGACATTGCTGTGCAAATTGTCCAGGGATATTATATTACTATTACTCTGATTTATTCTAGTAAACAATAATATCTTACCACTCCCAGACCCTGAGACTCTTGTCATCGGAGGTGGTGACGAATCTCCTGTTGTCATCCACGAAGGTGATCGTGTTAACAGCACCCAGATGCCGGTCGTACTCCTGAACTATCTCGCCAGTTCTTGTATCCCACTGTAATACAAAATTCTCGTGTCACAATGTTAGTTACTTCCTCTCAAATGGCTTGTCCGATTTATATGTAATTTTATACGCATATTCAGTAGGTCTGAGAATCAGCTAAGATCTATATTTCATACCAGTAAGTAAGAAGGATTGTCTGCCGCTAACATTTTTTTTCGTACTACTCTTGTGCTGTTGGCCGCAGTTAACCATTACAGCTTCAACGAACGACAGGGGGCGAGTACAGATAGCACTCCAAACCAAAGGAAGTACTCTTGGAGCGGCTAAAGGTCAACTTCTACTTGATGGATATTACTTCAGTCTTAGGGCACCTCCAGAGGTTCGCTAGAGGTAATTTCGATCCTCATTTGAATTGGACTGGGGATCGGTCGGAGATGTTACATCGCCGGTAACAGTTAATATTCAGTCGAAGGGAGTATGTCGCGGAGTTAAGTGCTAGTTCAGCGGGGTAACAGCTAGTAAACATATATATACTGACGCATATGATCTTCTTGTCGGAGGTGCCGGCGACGAAGAGATGCTGCTTGTCGTCGTCCGGGTGGAACTTCGCGCAGTAAGGCACCTTACGAGACGTGAACCGGCCCACGCACGCGCCCGTCTCCGTATCCCACACCTTGATGTACCGGTCGTACGCTACAAGGCAATATAATACGTACACACGTTGTGTTAGGGTTCCTTTTTCATTTCATTAAAAAAGCAGTCATAAGTTTCTTGCTCGTTCTTGATGAGACAGGTTTTTGAATGAGCGGTAGGACCAATCAAAAGCTGAAATGCTGAAATGATTCATCTAGTGTCCAGGCATACTTATCATCATTACATAGTATAAAACAAGTCGCTGTCGCTGTCTGTCCGTCCCTATGTATGCTTAAATCTTTAAAACTACGCAACGGATTTTAAATAGATAGAGTGATTCAAGAGGAAGATTTATATATATATAACACATGTACACCCGTGCGAAGCTGGGCCGAGTAGTAATTTAGATCTTTGTTCAATACAGCAATTCGTTTTAATGATTTAAAAATAATATTTGTTTAAACTAATATAGGTAAACGCTTTTGAATAGTCATATTTTTTAATTGCACTTTTAAATAAATGTTGTTCAGAATTACATTTTTACTTTAAAAATGTAACTGCCAAAATTCTTAAAAATGTACCGTAACTGCCAACTAACAAAGTTGACATAAATAAATAAAGGGAATGAAGAGTAGTAAGAATAAACAAAAAATATGATAGAATATAAGATACGCACCAGCGGAGAGGAAGTGCGTCCCGGTGTTGTTGAAATTGACGTCCCTAACGGCTTGACGGTGGCCGAAGTACGTCCGAACGCAAGCTCTCGAACCGTATACTTCCCATATCTATAAAAAAAAGCCAACAAAAAATATTAGTCAACACACACGTTCACTGCTCGTGTTTCTCTACCTGCCCAGACAAGTCCGGTAGGACCTGCTAGTGCAGCTTTAGATACATGTTCTAGTATAGAACTTACTGCAGATATATTTAGATAGGTACAGATCTTAGCCTATTTAAATATCAGATATATTATATATACCAGATATATTACATAAGTTCTATACTAGAACATGTATATGACGATTACGCTGTTATACCTCTCACTTCCACAAATCTAATTTGTTTTAAAAATTTCAGATTTATTAATAAAGGAAAGTAAAATAAAGTGTAGCATCTTGAATGGCTCTACACAAATATACTTTTAATTTTGTTAATTTTCCGCGAGTTTCTGAGACAGGCCAAGGCCGTTTAGAAGATTTTAGAGAGACTATGTTGTTATACCTCTCGCTAATACTTTAACACGACTGCATTTAACAACATAGATACTTTGATTAAAGTTTTTAATGGTCTTTAAGTATTTCATTTGTCTATAGTACAGTGAGCTCCACCAGTATTATATGTTTAGTTTTTTCCAATTATATGAATATATCACATGGAGATCACTAACCGGAGTCCTATGTGACCCTCGCATGCCTGTGCGAACTAAGGGTAAGATCTATAGCACACCGCCGTGCTATAGATTTTACCCTTAGTTCTTAAAAGGCCGGCTATGTTGTACGGAGCAGAATATTGGCCAATAAAGGGGACACTTGTACAGAAGCTTCATACCACCGAGATGAAAGTGCTGCGGTGATCTGGTGGAGTCACGAGACTAGATAGGGTGCGAAATGAATACATCCGCGGCAGTTTCAAACTGGCCCCAATAACGGAGAAACTTACCGAAAGCCGTCTCAGATGGTATGGCCATGTAATGCGTAGTGATGAGGATTACGTGGTCAAAAAAGCCTTAAAACTACCCGAACGCAAAAGAGGCAGAGGACATCCTCCAGCCACCTGGCGGACCAGTATGAACAAGCTTGTCGCCGCGGAAAAATTGCCCGACCTGACAACCCAGGTCAGATTGTCCTGGCGCCGAAACGACCCCGCATAAAGTGGGACAGAGCTAAGAGGAAGAAGATATGAATATATCTCATCCTCTGTAATTCTATAATGCTTTTCATAAAGCCCTTCTTAATCATGACAATGCAATAACTGGGTGCAATAACTAGGATTAAAAGAGCTTATTTTGAAGTCAATATTGTTAGCTAAATAAATTCGCTAAATAAATTCACCAAAAAGCATGCCTACGTCTTATGCTTTTTGGTCATTGATATGGGTGCTTTCTATGTATGTTATTTACATAATATACATGGAAAAAACTAAGTCCAATTCCAACAAACATATTAATGAAAACATGTAAATATATTGTTAACCAATGTCAAATTACCTTCACCCTGCAGTCCATGCCGGCCGAGAGCATGAGGTGCGCCGTGCCGGGGAACCATCTCACAGCCGCAATGCCTTTTGTGTGACCCTTCCATGTGTGGATATGAGCCTGGACATTAACGAAATTATATATTACCATAAATATTTAAAACTAGCTGACACGCGCAATTTCGTCTGTGTTTAATTTCCCCACCTTTTGCAATTTTTGCAAATTTTTTATTGCAGCTCCTATTGGTCGTAATGTTATATAGCTTAAAGCCTTCCTGGACAAATGGACTATCTAACACAATAAGATTCTTTCTATTCGAATCAGTAGTTCCGGAGATTAAGATGTTCAGTCAAACAAACAAACTCTTCAGCTTTATAATATCTTATATATAAAATTCTCGTGTAACAGTTTTCGTTCCCATACTCCTCCGAAACGGCTTGACCGATTCTCATGAAATTTTGTGAGTGTATTGAATAGGTCTGAGAATCGGCCAACATCTATTTATCATCCCCCTAAATGTTAGGGGTAGTCCACCCCTAATTTTATTTTTATTTTTTAGACAAAATTTTTAGTTTCTATTTTTTTAAGATCCTTCTATCATCAACCCCTATTGTTTTATAGAGTTATTAATTTATACGACAACATCATTGTTGTGCTATGGTGTAGCATACACCACAGCACAACAATGACATATAATTTAATATAGCATATTAATTATAATGATCAGAAATATAGTTCACTGTTGATCCTATTAGGCACATTGGTTTTAGAAGTAAAAGTATAATCCATCTAATTTAAAATTAATATTCATATTGTTAAGTATAATAAGGAGTTTCCTCCCGCGTACACTTAGATTGTGGAATGAACTTCCTGCCGAGGTTTTCCCACGAGACTACAGCATGGGGTTTTTCAAGAAGGGTATATTAAGGTTTCTTTAGGGTCGGCAACGCACACGTGATACCCCTGGTGTTTCAGGCGTTCATAAGTTACGGTAACCGTTTACCATCAGATGGGCCGTATGCTTGATTGCCACCATCATAGTATAAAAAAAAAAGAAAGTGTAACATGCAACTGTGGTGAAAACCAGATTAAAGTATATATGCAGCTTAGGGTGTCCCTTATTTTTCAAAGTTTTTATTTTTTAATGCATAGGTCTTAGTTTTGTTCATATGTTCCTAAAACACTCGAAAATACATTTTTATATAATTTGGAGAACGATAACCCGTGCCGACTTGCATCGAAACATGTTCATACAAATAACGCCGAACTAGTGGCGCGCACCCATCGTATTTGCCATTTGTTTCAAGTAACTCTTGTGATTAACATATTGTTTTTATGTTTAAAAAAATGGCAGTGGAATTAAGATCCAATAAAAAAAGTATTTTTTTAGTTGGTGACGTGAACCATCAAATAACTGTAGCAAAGTTACCGTCTAATCGTCAAGTTATTGCAGTCCTCTTTTTTAACATTCGCGAAGTTAAATTTATTGTTAATGGAACGCAAATCTTGCCGTTCGAGAGAGTATTATATTCTGGGAAAAAGCTAGAATCCCTACCAGACCTGTGCCTAACTGTGTAAAAAAACTTGTGGATCTTCACCGAGCTTGGAGAGAGTTACAAAAAAATTAAAAAAACAAGCGCCGTGAGGAGGACTTTCAAAATAATTTAGATAATTTATTCGATATAGCACACGCAAATGCTTTGTACTGGATAAAAATAGAAGAAGATAAAATATTTTTACAAAAACAAAGAGAACCAGGGCGTCTAGGATGTTTAGCGGGAGTAGATAAAAAGTTAGCCGAGAAAGAAAAAAGGACAAGACAGAGAAAATTAAAAGAAGAGAAAAAAAGACAAGATGATCCAAAAGTTTATCGTCATCTTTAACTACACAAGATTTTATCGAAACGCAAGAAAATCCCAATCCCAATACCAGCTCTGACGAAAGCCTTAAGGAACCCTTGCCATCAACATCTCAAATGGTAAGTTCTGTAACTACTTCAAAAAGAGGAAGGAAAGATTTCATCACTCCTAAGTTAGTTGCCACTTTAGATAGATGTCAATTAAGCATAAGGGACTCTGTCTATATACTTCAGGCTGTAGTAGAAGCCCTAGATCTCAGCTGTGATGAGTTCCCGATAAATAAATCGTCAAAGAAAAATATTAAAATAAGACTTTCTGGAGCAATGCATCAAGCTAGGTGGATGGCTAGAGCCATTTACTCTTTGAAAATATGTTTGTTGCAATCTCAATTCAAAATTAGCGCTAAGGATAAAAGAGCCCTTCAAGATATTTGTTTATTCATTGCAGTTATATATGTAAAACCATGGATTGGATGTAGTCTGACAGTCAAGGCCCCAAATCAAGCTTTGCGCTTTTTAAAAAGTCTTAAGGAATATGAAACTGTTAATAAAGAGATCTCCAAAGCTGCCCTGAGCAAGTTTAGTCAACGTTTTTGGTACTTGTAAGAAGAAATAGCTGTTTTATCACTCTTTGATGATGAAGTAGATGAACAAACTAAGACGAATATTGTAGCGAACTTACAAAGAGGTAGTTTATATGATTCTGTAAAAAGATACAGTCCATCGAAAGAAGATATGTCTGATTATTTGTATGGTAAGTAGAAATACATAACATTTATTTTAGTATAGTTTTTTTTTAATGTTACACATTTTAATTTAATTCGGTTTTATCGCGTTTATCATATTTTTATATTTGGTTGGTCTAGACCTGACCTGACTGATAAATGTAATAATTAAACCGTACTAAGTTATTTAATTTAAAAATTAAATAGTTTTATATCTTATATCCATCTTAATAAACTGATAATAATATATCTTGATTTTGTTGCAGGAAAATCATTAAATGATTTTGTGTCTGTTAAGAGCACAAATTTATTTGCTCGTTTAAATATGGATACAGACTTCTTAAAGAAAACCGTTTCTGCATGGGACGAAGATGTAACCTATTTGCAGGCTAAAACAAGAGTTCTTTCTTTAAGGGCCGTGAATGATACAGCTGAAAGAGCTGTAAAACTTATGCAAGATTTCAATGGCTTAGTCACTGCAAAAGAATATCAAAAACAGTTTTTGCTGCGTACCTACAAGATTTTTTGTGTACAAGAGCATAGAAATCTGTATCCAAACTGTAAAAAAGAGACCCTTAAAAGAAAATATTTGTGATATTCATTTGATTAATAAATACTATATTCTAACTTTCTCTTTGATTATTATTATTAAACATTTTATTTCATTTTATTACACATACACAACGACAAGCGTTAAATACAACGATTTTTAAAATATTCAAGGCTCTGTCGGCACGGGTTAATGTTGACATATAAAGATAAAATTTTGTATTTGATTAAGTTTAGGTAGTTTAAAAAGAATTAAGGGGTATGCATTTCGATATCTGAAAAAAAATTTTTTTCACCCATATAAGGGACACCCTAATGCAGCTATATATCCACTGAACATCTCTATCAATTTCCCTATAATTGAAATAAGATACATACCTTAGGCAGGAAGCACTTGTCAGGCGGTGTGTCACTTCGCAACTGTGTTTCACTACGCGGCGCCTCTATCCACGACCGGCCCTGGTAGTCTGTATCTTTTTCCACTGAAAATTAAATTAAATTATCACATTAACATGTAACACATGTCACATAACACGCTGTTATGAGGCGGAAGGGGATTGTTAGTAATAACCCCATTGCTAGCAAAGTACCATGTCAGGTTGACCTCCACGCGGTTCCCCTGGAAACCATCGTGTTAAATTCCTGGTGAATTTGTCATGATGGGCTAACTGACCTGACCTCATGCTCATCTTATCATCCTCCACTGGTGCCCCGCCAGCGTAAACCGTTAGTGCAGGCGGATGCACCATTCCAGTATCAAACCTCAAAAAAAAAAGCTGTTATGTACACAATATGAACTCCATTTATATCTTTAGAATTGTGAAAGTTATTGAAATTATAATTTGCGTTTAAATTAAAGAAGTACAGCAAATTCAAGTAGTTATTTAATTCCGAAATAGTATTCCAGTTACTAATTACATTATTTTTTTAATAACCCTAGACAATTTATACAATCATCTAGCTAGGCGCTGTGCTAAACCTGTATATATATATATATATATATAAACCTATATATATATATATGTTACATCTAGGTTTCATTCGAGTAGACATATAAATGAAGAAATTCCTTTCAACATTCATAAATTTATTTCCGTTATTTTTTAATTAACAACACAGTCTAATAAAAAACTCACAATGGAATATTGATTTTTCTTCTAGTGGTTTATCATCCTCCACTTTGCCTCTCTTCTGTCTCTTTGCCAATATTTCTTCTAACTGCTTAGCCTCGTCTCCTTCTGGTTTCATTACTCTATAATAAAAATACACTTCATTAAGCTTCTTTTCACTTAAATGTTTATGACTGGGTTTAAATAAAATAAATAAATAAATATCCCTGAACAATTAACACAGCGTCATCTAGTCCCATGGCAAGCAGAGCTTTTGTTATGGGTACTAGATGGGATGATATAAATACTTAGATATTTTTTTTATAAATATGTACATAATATACATAGAAAACACTTAGACCGATACGAACAATCATATTCATGAATACAAATGTTTGGACCATGCACGGAATTGAACTCGCGACCATCTGAAATAAAATGGTGTGCTCAACCGCTAGACCACCGACATCATCAAATATAATAATTATTTATAAATTCATACCTCTTTTCACCGACGTATCCACCCCATGGCCCTAAAAAGCCCTCTACATCTTCTGGATTATCATTTTTATTTCTTTTTTTCTTATCTAAGGGTCTTTTTTTTATAGTCTCAAATACCGTTTTACCTTCAGCTTCTTCAGGTGCTGCTATCATTGCTGATTCTGGAAGACAATTATGAGTTTAATTAGACAATAATTCAGCACTAATAAATAGTCATAATGGAGTTAAAATCACATGGGTTAAAATTTGTTAGAAAAGTCAATTCAACTGTATAGAACAAATTTTCGTTTACTACAATAAATACTAGAAGTGTAGACATAGAAATCTTCTAGAAGGTCTTCATGGCCTTCTGAATACCCAGCAAAATGTAGACATGTCTTAAATGTTGCACTCACCACATCTATATGAGATACTAGTCACGAAGGTTTATCATATTGTTATTATAGTAAAAGAAATTATATAGTGGTTGCATTATTGCAGAAATTCAACTATAATTAATTGAAACTTTGAAGATAGAACCTTAGTAATGTTCAAAAGTTCAACAGTATTATCAAAACCTAATACTTCTATGTATGCTTAAATCTTTAAAACTACACAACAGATTTTGAAGTTTTTTTTTAATAAAGTGATTCAAGAGGATATGTATAGGTATATGTATTATCTATAAATGTGCAAAAAGTTTGTATTCCCCCATCTGCACAATTTACCTAAAAAGGTGTACAAAGTTATTGCTATGTGTATTAATATAATGATACTTACTGACTATACTATCGGCTGTACTACTATCAACATCTGTAGATGGATCTACAGCAAAACCATAACTTGTAAATGTCCGCCTCTGATTCTCAAATTGAAAGTCACTAATATGAGCTTTTTCTACATAGCCAGAGAGTATATTTCTGTTTGCTTTCATTTGTTGTGTTTGAAATGGGTTCTCAGGACCATATTCGGGTGCGAATAATTCCTCATATTTTGGATTGTGCATTAATTCTTGGTTGTTTGGTATGAGTACTCTTGTGTCGTCACTGTTCTGCAAAAATAATAATGTGATTTTGTAAGTATATATTTAAAACATTATTGAAATGTATATTACTCATATTTAAATGGAATAGATACATAAAATAATACAGTTATTTGATTTAGAGATTACAAATTTACATGAATGAAATATAATAACATATGTAATGCTAAATGATAATGAATAGCAGTATAAATTTGTGTTTAGTTTTGTTGAAAGAGTTGAGTTTCTTCTCATTAAAAACCTAACCAAGAATAGCCGAGGGTGGAATAATAGAGACTGTTAGCATCAACACTTATAATTTAATCAGTTCTCTAAAAGGTTCTACTTAGAAGCTATTGGACTAATTCCAGCTATATACACCATAATGATTTAAGTGAAATTTCATTTAAATGTTTTATTCTGAAGGAGGTGGAACTATCATTGCTGACATAAAAATAACATTAGCTTATGTGGTCACTTACGGTAGGCATAACTATTGGTGCAGCACAAATTTGCATCGTTCTAGCAACAGAGAGGCTCGGATCAACTGCTTTGAGATGAGTCAACAAACCCTCATTGCTGTGTTTGGCCACAGATTCAGAGTCATTTTCACCTTCTTCCTCTGAACTGCTGCCATAATTTTGTATATTTAACATTGCAACTTTAACTGTACACTTACTTACTATAATATCGTTTAATTAAATATTGAAAACATAAAAATATTTTATTGAAAAATTACAGTTAACGAATGGTTATGAGAAAACAAAACAATCACAGAGCAGGACCACAAATACGTCATAAGTTCATAACACAGAGTATAGTATGTCTGCTTCTGTTGACAGCAGGTTTGCCATTCTCACAACTTCAACTTTTTAAGGAGAAATATTCTTTAAAATCTACCCTCTGTTAAAAAGTTAATATTTATTTCTACTTATTAATAATCACTCATACCAAAATAACTACCACCAATCATATCACATAATGCACTATTTGTAATTTTGCAACAAAACGCTTTATTGACGGCTATTATATGTTTTGACAGTACTACCAACAAAATAGGCGAAAATCCAATAAGTCAGGTGACGATCCCTTGTGACAGTTCTTGATTCACCAAAAAATTAATAAAAATATAATAAAACTCCACAAAAATGGCCCTACACGCAGCAGTTAAAGGAAAATTGATCAGTGTCATCGGTGATGAGGTATTATTTAATCTTTTCTCATTTACTGTGTATAATATCTTCACTTTATACAATTTTATAATGCTTCCAAACCTTGCCAGAAAATCATGATTTTCATTGTTTTATTTACAACTAGCTAGTCACCCCGTCTTGCACGGGTGTACATCTATATCTATAAACCTTCTTCTTCAATCACTCTATTGCTAAAGACTACATTAAAATTCGTTGCGTAAAAGATTTAAGCGACGAACAAACAGCAAAAGCGATTTATCTTCGTAGTATTTAATGCTTAGTATTTTTAATATTACAGGACACATGCGTAGGTTTCCTATTGGGTGGTATTGGTGAAATCAACAAAAACAGACATCCCAATTTCATGGTTGTTGACAAAAGTAAGTACCATGTTGCTGATCCATCATTGTAGTAGTTCAGATGTACCTATGCATTTTATCTACTTATTCTAAGAAGAAACGAGATTCGTATCTATTATATTTATTCATTTTGTTCAATAGTTTATTCTTTACTTTTGTTTATCCCTTACACAAGGTCAGTGGATGGAAACATACCCCCATAAATGAAATATGTAACTTCTTTTAGTTTTAAACATATAAATACTATCATGTGAATATGATTAATACTATAAGTTTTAGAGTTTCTAAGCGAGTTTAGGAGTTTTTAAGGTCCAAACATAGCCTTTATTACTCCATTATACAAGATGAATTTAAATTAAACTTGTTAACAAATAGGCTATTTTTTACCTGAATTCACTGAGGCAATACTGCAAGATATAGCTAGTACATCTTAGTAGATCTTCACTTACTAGAATGTGTGTAAATTTAGTAAAAAAAACTAATTAATTTATACATTTTTGAAAACTATATTCTCATCTTAAATAATATAAATTTGATTAAAATTAATTGTTTATGAAGATAGTAAAAACTGATTATCATAATTATTAAACAGATACAGCAGTCAGTGAATTGGAGGACTGTTTCAAGAGGTTCGTGAAACGAGATGACATTGACATCATCCTCATCAACCAGAATGTGGCTGAGCTGATCAGACATGTGATTGATTCACACACAGCACCAGTGCCTGCTGTGCTTGAGATACCCTCCAAGGATCATCCATATGATGCTAGCAAGGACTCCATTCTACGTCGCGCAAAGGTAATTTGCTTAGATTCTCCTTCTTTTTTAAATTTCACTCCTATAGGATGTTCTTATAGTTCTTATATCACATATTCTTATAGGATGGTATTTCCATGTGATGTGATGATGTTGTTTCTTAAGTTGTATCAATGCAGCATATTAAAAACAAGAACAATTTCCAAAATATTATTTTATAACTATCACTCTGCTGCCCCCACCACCTGCCCTGCTGCTGTTCCCGCCAGTTTGGCTTTTGTCATCATTTATAATATTAGTGTGATTGCTACAATGAGGGGTACGAAAGGTTTGAGGTCTTTTGAAGACTAACCACTGCTATAGGAGGTTAAATTAAACAGCCAAACAAACAGCCAGTCCATCTAAACTGCCAAATGGTTTGACTGTTTAGAGCAGCAGCATCAAAATGATGAAGTCCTCAAGTTTTTCAGCCAGAAATTTGGCCTCTTCTTATTTCCTCAGATTATATAATAAACACTTATATCTATCAAAATTACCAGTACTTTCCTGTTTGTCAAATCAAATTATGTCAATCCTGAATATTAATATTTGTTTATTTGTAACATTTTGTTGTATAGTTTAAGTTACAATATAATTTTAAAGAAGTCAGTGAGAAAAATAGACAAGAAAAAATAGAAAATTTACTTTTTAAGAACTCATTAGTTAACTTACTAAACAGGAGACAATTGGATGAAATCAGGCCATTATTATTTTATATAAGTATGTCATTACCTTTATATATGACCAATACAAAACAAATCAGCTCTGATAGTACTGTGTGATGTGCCTATACTTATTTGCTAGTTACCTCAATATTCAAATTGGAACAAGAGTCACATTAGGTGACTCTGAAAGTCCTAAAAGTTCCCTTGTAACATTCTATTATGGATTTTAAAAATAAACAAAATTTTTTAAAATCTATAATAGACTTACACTCAGTTGCACTTTTGAATTATCCTGGCGTGGCATTAATGGATAAGATGAGCATGAGGACAGGTCAGTTAGCCTATTGTGACATCTTCACCAGTAATTTATCATGATAGCTACTAGGCGCAGCCATGAAGAGGTCAATCTGACATGGTGCATTGCTAGCAATGGCATTATTGGTCCACATTACTAACAAACTCATTCTCACCCTTGTGTTGGTATTGTATTTACAAAAAAATCTTATATATAAAATTCTCGTGTCACAGTTTTCGTTCCCATACTCCTCCGAAACGGCTTGACCGATTCTCAAAAAATTTGTGAGCGTATTGAGTAGGTCTGAGAATCGGCCAACATCTATTTTTCATCCCCCTAAATGTTAGGGGTAGTCCACCACTAAATTTTTTAAATTTATTTTAAGGCAAAACAATATTTGCCGGGACAGGTAGTATCTATATATTTGTATCAGTTGTCTAGTACCCATAACATAAGCCCTACTTAGCTTGGGACTAAATGGCGCTGTGTGAATGATTATTATTTAAAATGAATTGTTTTTGTTTCAGGGCATGTTCAATCCTGACGACTTGGTACGCTAAAACTGGTTTGATGCATGTGTTTGTCGACATTCACAACAACTGGCATCTGTATATATATAATCCTTTCTACAGAAACTAACCACTAATGTTATGCCTCTGGACGTAAGTCTGTTTTCCGTGTGCAATTTAAAACTAAAGCAGTTTGAATCTAATACATTCCACAATTACAGATTTACATGATTTTATCATCCGTTGAGACTATAGATATGCCAGATTTTAATTAAATTATTAATGTATTACAAATTTAATCTTGTATAGAATTGTTGAAGTTATTATTTTATTGTATTCTAGAATATAAATTACAAACAATACGAAATTGTTTCATTTATTGTGTTTGTTTGAACATTTGTGCATGTTTTTGTTGCAACGAAATAATGGTTTTTATATTTATTTTTAGACCCTTCTGATGAGAATGGCCTGATGAAATTATTATGTTTTGTGTTTTTTATAAATCCCCATCCCCATTTCGTTTTAATAGAAATCTCTTTTTAGTTCCTCTCACGAAAAGAAATCCTAACAGAACAAGCAAGACAAAGGGGCAATAATGATTAGAGTCTACAAAAATTGGCTTACTAACTGTATTCATTCCTTTATTTTTCACTGCTAGCAGAGACAAAAAAACTCAAGAAAGCATCATACCCTTCGACATTTCTACGTAGATTAATATAGGCTACGGTAACCGTTTACCATCAGATGAGCCGTACCTATGCTTGTTTGCCACCTATGTGGTATAAAAAAAATAAAAATATACTATGTCATAGAACCGGTAAATGTAAAGACAATCAAATCGGGTCGTACCAATTCTTAGTCAGAAGGGCCATTTAAATGAGAAAAATGAATGATTTTGATTTTCCTGAAGTGTTCGTTGTGATTCTACTAAAATGTACTGGACAGTTTGTTGATATATAATCTGTGGTTTGATGTTTGGAATAAGTCAGTTATCATTAAAATGTTAATGATTTGTTTTGACGAATTGGTTTTGCATTTTGTGGCATTTTTGCTATGAAACAAATTAAGGTACGCCATTTTATTTAATATCTTATTAGTAAATTATTCCGTTAATACGTTTGTAAAAACGTTAAACCGTTATTTAGGCTATTGAACTGTTTTATGTTTTTCTTTCAAACTATATTCTTATCGAGAAAGAAAGTTCTATAGTCTAAGTTGTACATGTGAGGTCTTTATGAATGGGGGATATTTTTAATATAGTAAATCAGGTGTTAACACGAGTAATTTTGTGATATATATATATTATAGGCATTTGCCTCTCTCGACGTGAGGTTTCGACGTATGTGTAGTTGTGTACTAAACAAAAAATTTAAAAATCAGGGGTAGTCCATATTATACCTTTTTTTGTTTGTCTATAATATATATAATAAAATATTATTTTTCTACAGTTTAGTCTTACTTGTACATTATATATTTATCTATATTATATACATATATATATATATATATATATATATAAATAACATACAGTGTAAGTCGTATGGACATACCGACCTAAAGGCCGACCACAGGTCTCCTGAATGGAACAATTCACCAAGAAGAATAGTGGATTCTTTGAAGTTTGTTTTTTATACACTACATCCATCACGTAACTCGCCTCAAGAATTGGAAATTATTTTCAGTCTTCCACTTTGCTTCTTCGTCAAAATTGCTCAAATTCATGAGTACCCATTATATCGGCTTTTAGCTTGGTAAGTCCTTTAAGATTATTCTTATATAATCCTATATAAATATTTCATTTTCAGTCAATGTTCGGAGCGGAGAACTACTCTACATAACTTTATTTGTTTCATTAATAATTGTATTGTCCTGTCTCTGTATGTTGATGTTATTCTGTACCTGTTACGTATATTAAAATAAAAAATATTATGAAACGTTATTCAAATGTTTATTTAATATTAATAATATTAAAACAGACTTATATAACTTATATTATACGTATACCTAATATTCACATATATATACATTATAAAGTGCACAACCATATATAACAAAAACATGGTAACAATCATGCAGTATTTGGTATAGACAAGTGAGTTAATTACCCGTATTTAGAGAATGTGAAGGAAATATATGTTTCCTATTTATTAATCGTCGAAGTCAGTGACGTCATTTTCCGTCTTTTTATGGCCAACCCAGTCCCATTTGGAGTAGTGGAGTTTGGTTTTCTTGAATTTGGGATTCTTTGACGTGATGCGGACGAAGACGCGGCGCCCGAAGAGCGGTTGCAGCTGTCTGAAGTTGTCCACGAGAGGTAGGTTCAGGTTGGAGAGAAGGCCGCGGAAGTTGTCCATCTAGAAAAATAAAATAAAATCGTGACAATTCTCATACTAATATTATAAACGCGGATGTTTGCGAGTGTTTATGAATGAATGTTTGTTATTCTTTCACGCAAAAAGTACCGAATGGATTTTAATGAAACTTTACAATCATGGCTAGTAAAAAATATTACCAAAATCGGTTCAGTATAGGTTCCACCTGGAAACCATCTTGATAAATTGATATGATTTGTCACTATGGGCTAACTGACGTCGTGCTCATCTTATCAACGTCCACTAGTGCCCCGTCAGCGTACACCGTTAGTGCAAGTGTTTGAATCCGTCCATTGAAAAAATGTTTCTGACTACCTCATTAGGGTTGGGTCCTAATAGTTGCAAATGTATGTTTTTTTCTTGTTCTATTTCATTTGCATACAAATTAAACTAATTGCAAACAGCATACCTGGAATACAGAAATCGGCAGGTAATCCGAGAACACGACCCATGTCACAGCTTCAGCGCAAGGAGGGGTTGTCAGGGAACCCTTGTACGTGTAGAACCTCTCAGTATCCAGGCCTGAGAGTATCGATGACAAGGAGAAGGTATGGGGCAGCTGCATACTGGTGTTGTAGTTCTCTATAGCTGATAAGTTCTTTACGATGGGAGTGAGGAGTTTCGCATCGAACTCTACAACCTGTAGAAGAAAGATTAACTTTGATTAATGCTTATTCTGTTTAACTGATGGTTTTAATACTAGTTTGCTAGCTTGGGATGATATCCCAAGTATATATAAGTAAGATTTTTCTGCCTTTACAACTTCACCTGACGCAAATAAGGATGTTGCCTACACCCTATTTTCGTCAGTTACATTTCGCAATATTCGAGTGCAGCTTGCACTCGAAAACTCCAGAACGATTTATGGAAACGGTTGAAATCCAACTCCTTACTAACGGATATATTAGTGTATAAAGGTTAGCGTTGATATTTATGTGCTTATCCTGTCCTATTGGCTGAAGTAGATACTAGTTTGCTACTAGTCATCTTAAGCACCTATGTTTTTTCGAACTATTCTAGTGCAGCTGACCTTTACAGCTTCACCTTTAGATATTTTTTTACCTGATAGAAGAAAGCAAGGACGCATAAACCATCGGGATGCTGGAGAGCCTCTGCTAAACTCCTGTATTTTTTGTTCCTGTGTATGATGTGCATTTCAAGAGGGAGACGCATATCGTTCAGGGTGTGCTCAGAGCCGCGGTTGTTCTTGTCGCCCCAGTGGAAGTGGAGACCCTCGATCTCGTACTCAGTATCGAGGGGCCCACCGAAAATATACGGTAGACGGAACCCCTTCTTATCTTCCTCGGAACTGTACTTGGGGATTGTTAGGGCCACTGGAAGTTAAACGTATAAAAATTAGTATTAATTTGGAAAAGGGAAGGAATGTAACATTATTAATTCATTAAAACATACATCTAACCACCCCATCGCGGATAATAATCGCAAAAGTTGGTTTATATTTTTTGTGTATGGTAATGGAATGGTGCACCAGCCTACGCTAACGGTTTACGCTGACGGGGCACCAGTGGAGAATGATAAGATGAGCATGAGGTCAGGTCTGTTAGCCGATCATGATAAATTCACCAGGAATTTATCAAGATGGTTTCCAGGGGGTACCGCGTGGACATCAACCTGACATGGTATATTGCTAGTAATGGAGTCATGATACCACATTACTAACAATTCCCTTCCCCGCAGATTGGTATATTATGATTACTTCTCATTATAATTTTGTTTCTAAAAATTTCAATACAGTAGTTTACATTCTAAGTGCCAAGAATCGATGGGAAGGGGATTGTTAATAATGTGGACCATGTGGACCCCGTTGCTGGCCCTATCAGGTTGACATCCATGCGGTTCTCCTTGGAAAGCATCGCGGTAAATTGCCATTGGCCAAGATGGACTAACTTGACATCATGCTCATTTTATCATCCTCCACTGGTGCCCCGCCAGCGTATACCGTTAACGCAGGCGGGTGAATTATTCCGTAATCATTAATAAAAAGAAGTGTCAAGATTCTAGGACTTACCAGAATGCCCATTGTTAGTTACAGTCAATGGTCCCGGCAGAGGATTTTGGTAGCCAATGAGTTCCATAGCCGGTATAGAAATGGGGATTGCTTGTCTAGCTGCTATAGCAATTGGAGACTGCTGCCGACCTCCGCAGGCGGGGTGGAGCACGGCCCACCGCCTCTGGTCTGACGCTCGGTACCCCCAACCGACGACATGGGAGACTGTTGAATAAAAAAACAATTATAGTTCTAACTCCTGTATTAATCCTAAAAAGTCCTTGGAACAAATAAAACTGAAAAACCGTGATTTTCATTTCAGGCCACTAAGCTATTCTAATTGATCTTTATTATTTTATTCTTCTTATGTGTTAATTATTTATAAGGGTAGTTTGTATAATAACAATAACTTAGGACAATACACACAGCGTGGGGGTACGGAGATTGTTAGTAATGTGAACTAATAGCAATGTACCATGTCAGGTGGCACGTGGTTCTTCCTGGAAACCAAGGAATAAATTCATGATGAAGTTCTAGCTGACCTTATACTCATCTTATCATCTTCCACTGGCGCCCCGCCAAAAAATACACATAGCGTCATCTAGTTCCAAGCTAAGCAGAGCATGTATTATGGCTACTAGACAACAGATAGAAATATTTAAATGCATTTTGTAAATACATACGTAATATATTTGTATGTATAAGAAAACTCCAGACCAATCAATAATAACAAAAACAATCATACTTGTGAATACAAATATTTTGCTTAGTGCAACAACATATTGAAGATCCTATTACTTAAAATATGATATGTTATGTAACAAATATTTTAGTGATAATACTAAATATATATACTAGCTGTTACCCACGATGTCTCCGCTTGGAATTTAATAGTTTTATTATTAAAATAAATAACCTGCCGAAAATAAAATTAGTGTAAGTTATATAAGCAGATTAGTAAGAAAAGACAGATTTTTTAAAAAAATGTAATTATGATGTAACTACTGCGACTGAAAGTTTAAATTAAAATTCCATTAAAAACGTTCCAGCCGTTTTTAACAGAATTTTCACCTTTGGAAGCTTGATTATTTTTGTAAACCAAAACACATTTGTTTCATATCCTCCCGTTTAAACTCAATCAAAATAGAAATTACGTATTCATGTAGTCAATTGTCGTGATTGTTTTACTACTTAATATAATGACACGACGAATTCTAAAACATCTTAAAAAATTCCGACCATAAAATCACTAAATTACAATTCTCTTTGTGAGTCGGTTAAGTTATTAATCTTTTTTTACGACGGCCAAATAAATTATGCAATACTAGCTGTGCCGGCGATTTCACACGCATGAAATTTATAATCTATGTGTTATTGTGATATATAAGCTATGTTATAGCAACGTTTCATCAAAATCCTTTCAACGTCCATCCATACTCACAAATTTTCGCGTTTATACCTAATATTATTGATAATCGAAAACTAAAATTTTTTTATTATTGAAACTTAGCTATATGTACTTATTTTTATCAAAATACCACTCTTTATTATTTACACTTAAGCTTTTAACTCGAATTTTAATATGGTAACTACATGTAAGGAGTTTAAATGAGGTTCCGGGTTCAATTATGTTTAACCATTTTATTAGACTTCTATAAGATCTATACCATCTATAGTAATGTAGAGTATATAAAGAGCAGGGATTTTTTTATGTTTATTTTGTACTAGCTGTGCCCGCGACTTCGTTCGCAAGGAATAGAGGACGAATGAGAAATTTCCATTTCATCCCCTATTTTATTTTACCCCCTTAAGGGTAAAATTCGTGCAAACTTTGAATATCATATAGAGAGTCAAAAGCTTGAAAAATAAGTTTCAAGCTTCTAGCTTTAAAAATGACAATACTTCCATAGAACGTTTCATCTCCCTTTCAACCCATTACAACCCTTTCTTCGCATTAAAAAGTAGCCTATGTCCTTTCTCAGGGTCTAGACTATCTGGATACCAAATTTTATTGAAATCGGTGTAGTAGTTTTAGCGTGAAAGCGAGACAGACAGACAGAGTTACTTTCTCATTTATAATATTAGTAAGGACACTAAGGATTAGATAAACTCTTAAAATACTCGAACGACTTTAAAACTTCTTTCACCTATAGAAAGCTTTTCAGTATACAATTATCAGCAAGTAATTTAAAAAAAATTTTTTAGTTGCTATAGCGTAAATTGGAATACTTGTCAAGTAAATTAGAATTCACGACCTTTAAGGATTATAAGTCGAGATATTAAAACATTACGCTTTGATGTTCTTATCCTGTGACTTTGTTTACACAAATATCTACGTTGTACAGTATAAAGAGTAAATCATTTTACATCTATGGTTACGTCACCTGTTATCTAATTTGAATTTCGAATGTTTTAACTATTTTCATCCAATATTTCAAATAAAATTCTTGTCAATAATTTATAGAACTGAGAAAGTTTTCACTATGTTTAAAAAGTAGGTTCACTACTACAAGTTCTGAATTTGAATGAATGACTTCTCATTTGTGAGAATGTATGAAAAAAAAACATGAAATCGACTGCTAATATGAATTAACAATATGTTTGAGTTGGAAGTTATATTCCATTTCTACGGTTTGGGAAACCAACTTTAGATATAACAAATTGAAGTCAGTTTCAAAATTTTATGGCAATATATTGACCCGAATAACATTTAATATAACATTTGTTTTTATGTCGGCAGTATTAGCTGACTGATTTATAATACAATAACATAACAAAATTAAGAAGTAACAGTAATAGTGTTGCAATAATCATCATATATGGACAGTCTAGTCCATTGAACTAAATATAATAAACCAGTACCTACTATATTGAAATAGAAAACCAGTTGGATACCTAACAAGCAACTATCTAGAGCAAAATAAAAAAAATATTGAACGGGTCAGTCACGTTTTTTATATAACATTAATCTAGATTAATTTAATTATTTTTTAAGTGACTGAAAGAGTAAACAAGCTTACAATATGGTACTAATGGCAGGTGGCAACCGATGCCTATATCCATTACCAGTTATCATGCGGCACCACATGCTCTTACCTCTCATGACTTACCATAGAAGTAAAAAGTCACAGCTCTGTATCCTATAACTTTACTGCCTTATTTTAACTTTTAACCGAAAAAGAACATACAAAGCAAACTGCTTAGGGGCTGAAATAGTTCATACTCTCCACACAAATAACTTTGTATAAAACCTACTTGTGTAAAATTATACATGAACTTAAAAAATATATAAATCCGTTGTCTAAATACCAAAAGATTCATTAATACGGGGATAGAACCTTTTACTTCGATGTTCTGAAAGACTACCCTACGGTTGCCATTACAGCATTAAAATATTTACAATATTCCTTAACAATAATAGAACAAATATTCTTCAAGCAAACAGTATTTAGTTAAATATATTAAAAAATGCATTAACATATATGATGTAACAGTATATATCGACAAATGACCTCTGTGGATTATCACTGAACAATAATGAGGTCAAGATTTCAGTAAGTCTTGCATTGCATAGATTTGTACCTAAGAATTGTGCAAAATTCTAGACTTATACGTGACCTTATAGCTGTTGATACAGATATTAACAATTTTTGTAATAATAAGTACCTGTGTTGTTTGTTCATCCGTACCTACTAATATTAGATAGCATTTTGCGTCTACAAAATCATTTTTCTTTGGATTATACATAGATAAATGGCAGCAATATATTATTTTTATATTAGGCAAACATTTTTATAAAATTCACAAATGAAACAAATAAAATAGTTTATGCGCTATTATCTTTTATTTGTAGCTTTTGTCGCCTCTTTACGTGTACAAGACTAGGCTGTATGGTCTAAGGATCTTTGCCTGTTCCATTATTGGAAAAAGAGGAACTAATGTGGGAAAAAAGTCATTCAAATTAAAAATTCAACATTTTCGCGCCTATATTCTGATTGACAGATTCATGATAGCACTACAAGCTGAACCTAATAAAAATGTGTGTGTTAATTAATATAAGTATTTAATAATTATAATTGTTTATTTTTTTGTTAAGTATGTATTAATAATAATCTCCTATTGTTACAGCTTTCGGTCTAAATTATGATATATCAATATCATAATTTAGAAATACTATTTCAAGTGAGCATTACATATTGATATATGTAATGCTCACTTGAAATAGTATTTCTCACAAAAGCAAATTTAATCAGTAACACTTTGTACAAAGTTTTGTATTCTGGAATCTGTTTGACCCATTTCAGCCGCCAAACAGCTTGCTTCATGACGCCATTGAAATACAGGAAATGGAGGCATGGCCTCTATACGCAAAAGTGATAGCGCAAGTGTTCATATATATATATAGATATTAGGCACATTGAAGTAGAAAAAGTATAATCCATCACATTTAAAATAAGTATTGTTGCTAAGTAACAGTTTATATGTAACGTGCAACTGCAATCGGAACGAAGTAAATTATATTTACTACTATATATGTAATCCACTCAATATCTCTATCAATATAGGCGACGGTTATCACTTACCATCAGGTGGACCGTCATTATTCAACTTTATTCGAGTGCACTGTTATAAATATAACAGATACTCCATTTATGTTAGGGCTATCCATATTTATTTTTTATTTCAATAAAACTAAAAATCCTGTCTCATTTTCACAGTCTAGCTATCTCTGTCACACAGTTGAGTATCACGTAACAAATAATTTTCACACATGCTTCATATAGAACGTTAGCAAACCGTTCCTTCCCGTGCTTTAAACAAATATTGTAGAAATATTTTTTAATTAAAAAATACTCATGTTATTTAGGACAATGTTTTACTATAGTTAAAAGATTTATTGACATCCGTAGTGTTGGTATTTTGGTTTGTCTATTAAAAAAAACAATGATATATAGGTAGATTATTATAATTAGAGTAAATTAACAGAACAAATTTAGCGATAACCATTTCTGAAAACAGGAAAAGTAGGGCAAGACGTGCTGGGTACATAGCACGTTATCTACACGTCACGGCTTCATGAGGAATTGCTGCTATGTCTATGGTAAACTGATGTGGTTATTTGCTCAATGGTCTAGGGCTTCTTAAGTAGCGGACGGATTATTTTTTTCATTCCAATTTTAAATTCTATTTTAAAATTGGAATTAAATTAAAAAATAAATATATATATAAAATAACTGCTTGCTTGGATATTTTAAATAGGTACACATGAATGAAGTCGCGGTAGCAGCTAGTATAGCCTATTTTTATAATACATGTAATAAAAATTTAACTGATCGCTATCTGTACATAGAAGATATACCTATGAAAACTATTATTGGTGGATTTACCAACGTAACAGAATCCAAAACTATGTTAGTTGGAATTAGAAGATTGTGCATTAGCTTATCCGATTTGGGTGTATTCCAGTAGTATATTGTGTTGTTTAGTATATTGTGTTTGTTGTTGTAAATGTTTTGAAAATTATTGTTTGTTTTTATTGAACTGTTTTTGCAAAGAAAAAAGTTTACAAACATACAAGTTATAAAGATAAACAATTGTTATTCCGTGTACCACGAGAATGAAGTCACGGGCTCAGCTAGTTGATAAATAAAATATTTTGTAACAATGAACCGCTATGTGTATAAATTTAAACTAAAGTAACTCCATTAAAAATTGTTAATGTTACATATAAATCTGTTGCATTTTTTATTAGCACCTTTGGATCAAAATTAACTTTCAACATTTTCGCGCCTATATTATGATTGACAGATGCATGGCAACACTATAAACTAAAGGTAAAATATCTACATATCCGATGTTTTATCAAATCTCAATTATAACAGATTAAAATCGATAAAATTACCGAACTATTTAAGAATTATTTTTATTAGCTGAATTGTAAAGAAAGAAAGAAAATTGTTTATTTGGTACACTGAAAATAATTTTTAAAATTAAATTTACATTTTATATTAATAATTAGAGTACCAACTAGGTCTCCGCTCAGCATATGTCGTGACGGGGTGCCACGACGCTGGTTTTCAGCGGACACCTTTTGTACGGTACGTATTTTCAATTCTAAAATGATCCACACGTATGTACGTAATAATAATAGCAAAACTGTAGATTTGAACTGTTGAAAATGGGAATGGGTAATTTTTTATTCGAACTATTAGGACACCTATTACCTAGGACACTGGACATTATTACTTTCATAATTAATAAGTCTATAGAGTCTTCAACATTCCCTGCAATATGGAAAATAGCGGTGGTATGTCCTATCCCTAAGGTTACCAACCCATCAAACTTATCAGATTTGCGACCGATTAGCATATTACCTTTTTTGTCTAAAGTCCTGGAAAGGATTGTCCATCTACAAGTGTCCTATTACTTGGAAGCCAATAACATATTACCACCTTTTCAATCTGGATTTAGAAAACGAAGAGGTACGATCACTGCATTATTGGATGTTGTGGACAATGTTTTGGCGGCTATGGATAAGGGAAATGGTACCTTGCTTACTTTGCTCGATTTTTCGAGAGCTTTCGAATGTTTAAATATAAACCTGTTACTTTCAAAACTTAGATACTATGGATTTGATGGGCAAACAATACTCTGGTTTGATAGTTACCTCAGTAATCGTCATCAGCTCGTAAAGGTAACACAGAACAACGGCACTCTACTATATTCCAAACCTAGACTATTGACGCGAGGAGTCCCGCAGGGATCAATTCTGGGTCCCCTCTTATTCATTCTGTATAGTGCTGACATTGCTAGATACTGTGAAGGATGTTTATATCACCAATATGCGGATGACTTACAAGTTTACATGTCTATAAATCCTCAAGATACAAACATGGCGGTTAGAATATTGAACTCAACACTTTTCCGTATATCGAACTGGTGTAATAAAAATTCTCTTGTTTTGAATCCGGCTAAGTCGAAATTCATGATATTGGGTTCTAAATTGCAGGTACAAAAAATTAAAAATCAAACACCAGTTATAACAGTAGAAGGTACACCTCTGTTGCAAGTAACTGAAACGCGCAATCTGGGTCTACTAATGGACTCTGGTCTTAAATTCGAAAACCATGTCCTAGATTGTGTGGGGAATTGCTTCTACAGACTAAAGATATTGTACAAAATTCGAAATTATCTTTCAACTGATCTACGTGTTCGACTGTGCGATTCTCTGATATTGTCCAAGCTGAGTTACGGTTTAGCTGTTTTCGGTTCATGTACACTAGCTAGATCACGGCGGCTTATCCAACGTGTACAAAATGCATGCGCCCGTTTTTGCTTCCGTATACCACCGCGTAGTCATGTCTCTCCTTATCTCAATAATGCTAAACTACTAAATATGTCTTCACGTTACAACCTTTATTTTGCGACTTTGTTGTTTGATGTCATTGAATCCAAAATGCCTGATTACCTTTATAGAAAACTTGTGTGGTCTGGCAATCAGCATGCTTTTAAAACCAGGGCTTCGTTGTATCGACTAGTGACTCCAGCACATCGGACTACTGCCTTCAGAGGCAGTTTCAGATATATGGCCTCCAAGTGTTGGAATAACTTACCTCCTCCCATTCGTAATATAAAAACTAAAGTGAATTTTAAAAACCTTTTAAAAAAACACTTATTGTCTGAACAACTGACTTTAAATAGGAGGTCCTTTATCTGAGGAGTCTTTTTTTTCAACGACCGAAGTCGGTAAGCATGGTCAGGAACAATAATGTCTGACTCACGGCGCGTTTAGCCAGCGACCTTGTATATGCTAACAACTACTATTATTTATGTACGTAGTATGTATCTATAGGTTAACAATATATGTATACATAACACACCACTTCATTTTTTTAATTTATTTGTATATTGTATAGTGTTTTGTAATAGTATAATTTTTTTAAGAGCTCGAAGTGTAATATATAAACATTCACGTATATATGTATGTAAGTATGTATTTAATTATAGGAGCCAACAGAATATCAGCGCTGCAGACTTATCTGTAGCTTCATGCTGAGTTGGTTGCCTCTTCATCATTGCGACACATAAAGCCACCTCCATTTTTATTTTATTTTATTTTGTAATATCATATTTCTGTATTATTTAATCTGTAAACTTTATTTCTATTTATAAAATGTATCTCATGTATGCTATGTGTTTGTAATGGCTGAATAAAGAACTTATCTATCTATCTATCTATCTATCTATTCTGATGCTGTTGCAACTGGCCTTTACAGCTTCACCGAGCTAAAATGATGGCAACTGCAGGATACACTTAAAATCCGGAGGAGTTATGTAGCAGCTGATGATCGACTCATACCTGACGGATATGATTTTAGTCTGAGAACATCACTAGGCATTCTAACCTCTACTTAGACCATTTCGATCCCCACTTTATTAAGACAGAAAATCGATCGATTGCGTTATATATTTCGGCCCCATAAAAATAGAGATGTACCTAATTAAGCAAATAACATTTAATCAAACTGAATGTCTCACAACTTTCTTAAGTATGCTTGTCGGATGTTTATGCGATCCAGTCACAAATGCAACAACACTTGTTCGCATGTCACTCTGGCTTCAAGCATACCATTCTAATCGATTGTTTTCATGGTGTTTATAGCAGTATATTAAATCATATTATTAATCAACCTTTATTGACTGTTAGGATTTGTTTACGTTTATTTTATAGACTAAATAATATTTTTTCGTAAATTAATACGAGTACCTACATATTTTAAAATTTATAAAAATATGTATACCTTCTTCTAATATTATTATTGTGTAGTAAAAAGTTTTTCTGACGTTACCAAGTAAAGTTATAAATAACTGCATAATTAAATTTTATATTAAAGTATTATTTTGTAACGACCGTCAACATCCAAAGTAGTGCAGTTTTTTTTTTAATATATTTATATACATTTTCCAATTCACTCAAATAAAAGTAATAAATATAAGACGATTTCTATTTTAAAAACTATCCATCTCCAAAATTATTATGAAAATAATAAACATTCTAATTAAAATTGTAAGATTAAATATATATTTTTTTGAACTCACCATTAACCCCCAAAATGACTGCGATAATTGACAAGAAGATCGTATACATTTTTAATGTCACTTTTTTTTTAATTGATTAATTATAAGTAATATACAGCTGGATGCCTCTTACCACGGCCGTACCACTTTATATACTACAGATCCACATCTTTCGCGGTGCGTTTTCAATGGCCGCTACGTCACCAACGTGAGAACTAACCCTTCAAATGACACATGCGTATCCCAAAGCACCTACGGGTTTCCCTAGTCCTTGGACAAGTTACGTGTTCTTATCAATGACGTTTCAGTTGGGGAACTATACATTTTATTCGTAATAATTATAAGTATAATTGCGCGTGATTCATCATTATGTTCATATATGGGTACTAATTTCGAAGGAATACTTCCAATTGAATTCTATTGTGGGAATAAATCCTATAAAGGTAAGGTCTTCAGTTACCTACGGGTAAAACAAATTGTGTGCAGGATATAATAATTAATTATTTAATTATTATTCATATGGATGATTATTAAAATAGGTAAATACCGGTTTTTAGAGTATTTCCAATTATTAGTTAATCTGATTTATACACATATTTTTTATACACTGTTTTTTAAAATGATCTCCCCACATACATTTCTGTTTGCGTAATAAAGATTTAACAAATGAAATATTATATTAGAATAAGAATAACATTTATTGCTGCCAATAAAATTACAGGAAAGAAAATATATAAAAGACAAAAAAAGAAAATATATTAATGGCAAAATGATCCGGTTTAGCTATTGATTTGTTTAATTGAAATGACATTATATGTGGTCAATTTATCTGAAATTATTTATTATTAAACTTTAATGTTAAACACGCTGTCGACTCACTTCATGATAAGTGGCAACTGTCACCCGCAGAACGCAAGTCAAATTGCCATATAATTAATGTGACCATTTATTCTTGGACTCAAAACAGGACATTGGTTTATTTAGTCAATAAAATGCGTTTTTTAAGTTATTTAGATAAAGTTAGCTTAATAGTTACGTATAAGTATCGGAGGAATAAAAGGTGCTTTATCTGTTGAAGATTTTCAGTAAGAATGATCCAGGCTCGTTTTTTTATTATCAACGTCAAAACAGTCCAGCCCTACTACGTAAATTTCGTGTGGTCTTTGAAAACGGGACAATTTTGCGTCCCAGAGTTCATTTTGGGGACAGTGTCTCGTAATTATAAAAAGGGACAGTCCCATTCAAAACGGGACGTCTGGTAACGTTACATATAATGTTCGTAGATTGTAATTTTGAAGAACTAAGATGTTATTCCTCATTTCACTACCATATCTCACCATCTCACAGAAATACAGCTTACGAAGCGAGCTTGGTGGCGAATATATAAGACAGAGGTATCTATCGTATTGTAGGCGACTTTGTGCAAAGTCTTCTAGTTAGTTAAACGAAATTCTGCTTAAATCGTGTGAATATAAAAAAAACTGTTATCAGATTCTGTTTAATAGATAAGGTATAAAATTTGCATGTCAAATAAGAATTATGGTCTGTATTTTTGCAGTTATTCACTATAAATAAATATATAATGCTGAAAAATATTTAGGTAAAAGAATAACACGCAAAGTTTTGTTCTTTTAAATTTCGTTCTTCTTATGATGAATCTCCTTTACCAATGAGCGGTAGAAGAAAATATATGTTTAACGACTTTAATATATTTGGCTGTTTGTATTCAAAAAATCGTAAATACCAAATTTCTTGCTCGTTCTTCTTGTGACGACCTATCCTAATGACCGATAGAATAAAAAAAATATTATATGACTATTTAATTATTTAATTAAGATTATTTCTATTGCTATCGAGCAACGTACCAATGTTGAAAGAATAACTAGCGAAGTATATTTAATTTACACACCCACGCGTAGTAAAAATGCGAGAGGGTGTCTGTCTGTATATTAGTTACATTTTCACGACTGAACAGCTTTTAATTAAATTTGAAGTAAGGATAGATGATGTTACGAGGGCAGTTATAGGCATTTTTATTTTAAAAAAAGTAGACGAAGAATGGCATCCGTACACAATCTGTCATTATGCCATTTTTCATTGCTATCCTTTAAGCCGTTGGTAGTAGTGAAAATGTAATGATGTGGTGAAAGAGATTCTTAGTAATGTGGTTCAATAACACCATTGATTAACCATGAAACCATTATGTTAAATTCCTGATGTACTTGCCACGATGGGCTAACTAACCTGACCCTATACTCATCTTATCATCCACGGGTGCCCCACCAGCGTATAACGTTAACGCAGGCAGGTGCACCATTCCATTATCATCTTAAAGACTACTGAACGGATTTTGACGAAACTTTACTGTAATATAGCTTATACATCATCGACGGCCTCGGCGGTCTAGCACTCCGCTTTACGTCCGATGGTCGCGGGTTCGATTCCTCGCACGACACAAACATTTGTATTCAAACATTTGTTTGTATCGGTCTAGTGTTTTCTATGTATAATATGTATGTATTTACGAAAAAAAATATCTATGAATATATTTGTATCAGTTGTCTAGTACCCATAACATAAGCTTTAGCTAGCTTAACTTGGGTCTAAATGGCGCTGTGTGAATTGTCCTGAAATTATTATTACTATTACATTATAATAACTATAAAATTCACGCAGGTGAATACGCAGGCACAGCTATTTCATTAAAAAGAAACATTACTATCAAAGATTGGGACTTTTCATCCAAATACAAAAATATTAAATAAAAAAAAGACCGAGTATTGCTAGGGTTAACTCCAAACCTCCCAATAGTCAGACCTGAACAATAGATAATAACATTCACCCTCAGATGATGTAAGTTATTGGGCTAGTACTCAAAACAAAACCCATTGATTAGGACAATATTTTATACCATTAGAATTTATGACGACCACGGTGGTCTAGCGGTTTAGCACACCGCTTTTCTTCCGATGGTCGCGGGTTCGATTCTTCGCACGGTACAAACGTTTGTATTCATGAGTATGATTGTTTGTATCGGTCTGGTATTTCTTATGTACATTATGTATGTATTTATATAAGTTGTCTGGTACCCATAACACAAGCTCTACTTAGCTTGGGACTAGATGGCGCTGTGTGAATTATCTTGGGTTATTATTATTATTATTATTGCTCATTGCATACCTATATGACAGATGTAGATAGTAAATAGAAGAACAAATGAGAAAATGTATTTAAAATAGAAAAAAATACTATTATCATATAAAAAAGGTTATGCGTTATGCACAATATATATTTATTAAAATACTAGCTGTGCCCGCAACCTCGTCAGCGGCGAAAAGCGACCTTGGATAACATAAAATGTTTAATAATAGACCAAAAAAAAAATTTCATCGTTCTAGCTTCAAAAATGACGAATTTCCATACATACTTTCATCCCCCATTTTATTTTACCCTCCTTAAGGGTAAAATTTCACTTAAACCGATCTAACTGTTTCGGAGATTAGCCCATACAGATAATCGGATAGAGAATAAAAATATAAAAAAAC